TGTTACTGTATTCGGAAAATCTCTTCCTAATATTTTCATTTATCTCCTAAATAATCCCCAAAACGAAAATTTTGGTTGGTAATCCCTGGGCTAGTGGCATATTGTAACAATGTACCCAGGGACGGGTAGCGAGAATTCTGGGCACTGAGCTTCACTAGGTGATACCGAATGAATCATAGCGTTGGCATCGCAAGAGAAACAAATCGTAACATTCCTGGTGAATTAATCTTAGCGGATTTCACCAAAATCATGTAATTAAATGTTATAGTCATCAGAGATTCATGAGTGACAAACAACGTTTTTCAGCAGCAAAAAGGAATATATTTGCCTTTCTCTAACTAACCTAGTGATCTCATTTCCTTTTATTCCATTTATTTTAAATTATCGGCCCTCCGAACCAAGGGGTTCACTCGCTAAACAGTGAGGGCCAAGACTTTAACCAACTTCAAAAATGGAATTCACTAAAATGAGAATTCAAAGTGATTTTCAAAGTGTGCTATATACAATAATTATATAATCACTAGCCTGCCATGGTAGGACAGCATCCTATTATACAGCGCTGTGGTATATGTTGGTGTGCTATATACAATAATTATATAATCACTAGCCTGCCATGGTAGGACAGCATCCTATTATACATTTATAAAGAAACAGCGATGCGCAATGATTTGTCTGAAGAAGACCAAAATTGTCGGGCGAAACGTGTCACCAGTGACGTCGAGAGGCCCAGATGTGGGACTGTTTGGTGATCCGAAGCGCTACATATCGCACTGAGAGAAGCGAGCAAACGGCGAAGAGACCGGAAAAACCTAGCTTGACGCCAGTGTTTGTGTTGAGGGTCTTTGTTTCCATTCAGTCATGTAAGAGTTTCCAACCGTTTATAAGTAATGTAGTTTTGGCATATTGCACTATTGGGGCATTGTGGTTTCTATCTTTGTGCCCACTTACTGCAATTTACTGTCCGTGAGGAAAGACGATTACCGTCATATTCCGGCAATATAAAGCTGATACGCCCAGAGCGGGTTGGAAAGGGCACCTACAAAGCTAATTTTATTATTAGGTCGTATAGTATCAGCAATATTTTTTTTACAAGTTAGAAGGTATTTTGCACATTTGAGCGCAATCCTTAATTATGATTTGTGAATTGTGTTTCTTACAATGTGTTCTTTAGTGGTTGCACCTGCACATATATATTTATTTATTTATTTAATTTTGCGCTTTAACGGCCAAACACTTTTCATTTCAAAGCACAAAGAACTTTTGGGTAAACTTTTAAAATGATTTAGTATTATGAAATTTTTATTTTTTTATATTATGATATATACTTTTCAATATTTTAATATGGTTAATATTAAATTGAGTCCATACGTTATTAGACTAGCATGGCAGGACATTCCCTATGAACAGATCTGGATTGCTTCTTACTAGCAATGCTGGGGTGCAGTGGGTGATTCTCGAACTCACACTCTCCATGCTGTGACAAACCCGCGTCCCAGCCATCAGATATGGCGCGTTATTCCTACCATGCTACCTACCTACAGAGATGGATCTATGCACAGACAGTCAGACAGATATCACTATACACACACTATATTACACCCATCATACCTCCACAACCTTACACCTTCCCACCTCACCTTTGATTGGGAGCAAAGTTGAGGCTCCAATGTTTTGTCAAAAATTATCTTTAAGTCTTATTTCTTAAATTATTTGAGAAACTGCAGGTTATAACTCTTTCCTTTGCTGGTAGGACTTGTAGTTGGCTGAAGGTGAAACAAACAACTTTAACCCAGATATAAGGAGAGAGATCCGAGGCTCTTTGAGACAGAGGGCTATTTCTTTGTGTTGTAAAATTAAAATCCGGTTTAATTCCATATGTGTTTGTATGACTAAAATAAAATCTGCAGTGGGTAAACATGGCATCAGGGGAAATATAATCCATCATATTGTGGGGTGCAGGGTAGCCATTGCTTCTAATAATTCTGTGCACCCTACATGCAGACACACATTCTATAAGTGGATATGTTGTACACTTGTATGATGTTGGCCGTTTTTCTGAAGCTCGAGGATGTGTGGGCCTTATCTCGGGCACAGCGTGTCCTTCCTTTATCTGTGACTAATACAGGGAGTAAAGGGAATGGGTGAAAGAGGTCTATACATTAAGGATTTGCAGAGAGATAAGCGTGCACAAGGTGGGTGTTACAAAAAATAGCCGCCTTTCGCAAAAGAAAAATCTGCAAAATGGGATGATAAAATCAAATCGGATACTCCTCTGAGGGTACAGGAAGGGAGTTTGTTTGCTCAAGAAACTAAAGTGAATGGAATTCAATGTGAATACTTCCTTGACCCCATTAAAATGTTGTCTTGCGCCATCCATTTGTCTTTGGAAGAACCATTCAGATGGTGCACTTGGTTAATGTTCCAAAACACAAAAATGCATTTATTCATTTTTTACTCATCCTTTCAATGTTCCAAAGTCAATAAATGACTGCAAGTGAATTGGGTAATAGTAAAATCTGCACCCAGAACTTGGAAAGGAATCCTTTTAGTACAATCTGCATCCAGAACATTTAAGGGAATCCTTTCTGGTAAAATCCTGTGTTGTTATTTAGTAGACCTGTCTGGGCTGGTACACAAAGATGTTTAGCTTTAAGCAGAACATGATTTATAGGCCGTTGGCATGGCAATGTGTTCTGTGTTATTGCAGGCTTGATGGAGTTTATTCACTAAACAATGACCTTACGTCAGTCGGAATCTGAACGGCAAATTTAGGACAAAATTCAGCTATTGTCACAGCTATGGCTATCATAGCCGGCATTTTGAAATTTCACTGCAGTTTGTTGTTTAGTGAATACAGCTGCAGTTTTAATACAGAGTTATACATGTCTGCAAGCTATAGCTGCTATACATTATATGCAAAGTTATGCCACGCAAGCCACGTTGGGTCCCCAAGGAGGAGCACTGCATTGGATAGCGGCAGAGGATGCCATGTTTCAGGCGGAGAGGTAAGCAGGAAGCCTTGGCCCCAGGAAATGATAAGATTGATAATTTCCTTTATATTTACTGGGGAACTTTTTTTTTTTTTAAATAAGGTACAGGAACACTTAAGAAGCACTGGTTTGTATTCCTAAAGGCCCCGTGTCCCTTTAATGCTTACATTGCCACCATTCCCATAGCCACTTTATATTCAATTCCGAACTACCTTATATTTAAAATGATCATCTGTGCAAATGCCTTAAACGTTTGTACCAGCAAACACTACAAACCATCCGAAGATAAAAACCTTATTGCTATATAAAGGGACGTCACCATATTACAGAGACAATGAAGAGTTTCCCCAAATTATCTTAAAGTGAAAAATATATAAAAAGAAACATTAAAAATTATATCAGCATTACATTCAGTTCCAATCTCATATTATTCCCATTAAAGTGAGCACCTGTACAAATATCTTGATACGAACTATTACATTTAAAATGACAATTAAGAGTGAAGCAACCTCTTAAATCGTCCAAATATTCCCTATAAATAAAATACTGTACCCTGGAATTAAAAAACACAGGGCAAGCGCATCACTAACTCTATAAGAAACGTGATGTTCAATTCATCTGGGGTTTGAATATTTAACTTGTGCACCCACCTCGTTTCTGCCTTGCCTGCAACTATTGTACGATGAGCACTTTTTGAATTCCTATCACATTTTGTTCATGAACTTTTTTAGAAAGCATAGAGACACCATGATACGCATAACCAATTTAGATTTTATATAATTATAATTTTTTTTAGGTGCATCTCATACATCAGAGCAGGGAGGGAATCTGTCAGTTGCGTTCATGTTTAGACCTGTCTTGCAATCAGAGGAACCTAGCAATAAAAATACATAGAAACAACTTTCTACTGTTTAACCCCTTAAAGACCAAACTTCTGGAATAAAAGGGAATCATGACATGTCACGTGTCCTTAAGGGGTTAAATAAAACCATTCTCTAAGAATTCTATCCAAAAAGAAATGCAGCTTGATTATATGTGAATTCACCCCACTTTTCTTGCTGTCCGTTGAGAGCTGTAAAGACTCCGGAGGTGCCAAGTGAAGCTCCATTAACAGAATAGGATGGAGGACGCAGTGCGGGACAGTAACTACCTTTTACTGCACCCCTCTGTCACCTGATCTAGTACATAAATGTCACCTTTGGGACTCAGAGAAATATGCAAAAATCACTAAAAGCGACAGACCCACTTTCATCGAGTCTCAGATTACCATAAAGACTGAACGATGCAGACCCCCACTAATTTTACTGTGTAGATTCGACACATTTAAAGAAGGCGCTCAATCGAATGAATATGAGTAAGCAATTAATGTAATTCACAGTTACCTATAATAGCCCCCCCTCCCCATCTCCCGAATACCCCACTTATATCTGTACTGCTACTTATTGTGTCTCTGCTAACAGAGTGTTATGGTGTACTGCGCTGGAGAACATGTTGGTGCTTTATAAAATATATGAATAATTTGCACTTTTATCAGTGTTTCTACAAAGTTAATGCTTAAAGGGTAGCAGCCCCTGTAGTTATTTAGCAGATGAAATGTGAGGAAAATTTAATTCTTTGATGTTGATCACAAGGTAGTGTTTTATATCATTATTATGTCAAAGTCACCGTAAATCTTACTTTATAAATACACAGATTCAGGATTACGTAAACCAGTTTGAAATATATCACTGTGAATTAGATAGAGACACCAACATCTGGAAATTAGGTTTCTTGGTACCAAGAAGTGCAGTAATTAGAGGGGGAAAAAAAAAACCAAAAACTGATTTTGGATATTATTTAATATCAGACTATCCTGCATATATCAGTGATCGCTAACTTTATACCTGCTGATGTAGGACATGTAATTCCTATATACCCTAATCCACCAATAATTCTAATTAATATTATTAAAGTTGTAAGAGGGTAATATTGAGAATACCCCCACCAACCGATAAGAAACCAGACACAAGATAAGTAATCAAATTAATTTATTAAATCATAAACAGACATAAATAATAAATAAAGCAACATTATTAAATAAGACACCACAGTGGCAGATTAGGTTATAAAGTGCTTTGTGCAAAACAAAAAATTTAAAAATCACACAAAACTTCAAGTGCTAATCTTTAAGCCCACGTAGTATAAAAATATACTCATATAAATAACATCAAGTAAAACCTTCATATTAGTGTTTGAGTCTTTCATATAGTGTCTGGTTTGACCTTCATATTAGGACCTTTTTCATGTATAAAGTATTTGGGATAATCTTCATTCTCGGTTCTACATATTAAGTCTATGGTGTAATACAGAGTTTCTAAGGACCCTGAGGTGTAGTATAGAGTCTCTTGGAGTTTCTGTAGTAGGACCCCATGTCGTAGTGTAGATGGGTCTCTTGTTGTAGTACAGAGTCTCTGGCGGTCCACATTCAGTCCCTGTGCTGTATAGTCTTTGGGGGGTCTCCACATTCAGACCCTGTGATGTCTAGAGAGAGTCTTTGGGGGTCTCCACATTCAGACCATGTCCTGTATAGAGAGTCTCCACATTCAGACCCTGTCCTGTATAGAGAGTCTCCACATTCAGACCCTGTCTCGTTTAGAGACTCTTTGGGGGTCTCCATATTAACCGACAATATTCAGTGCATCCCTTGCATGGGTTCAGTAGCAAGTTGTGGCCTGAGGCCCCTCGCTCTTGTAGCAGCTCCCATCTGGGTTCCTGTGCAGCAGCTGGAGTAGTGGATGCAGTAAGCAGGGTGTCAGCGCTGGTGGTAGAGCTGCCAGCTGAGGGTGACCTGGATGGGGAAGCAGAGGCCGGTCAGGTTGTGGCGGAGGGCTGGCTGGAGGCCGGATTCCTGCAGTGCGGGCTGGAGGCCGGGGAGGGAGATCATGTTGTGCTGGACCCCGTGGAGGGAGGTCAGGTTGTGCCGGAGGGCTGGCTGGGGGCCGGATTCCTGCAGTGCGGGCTGGAGGCCGGTCAGGTTGTGCCGGAGGGCTGGCTGTATGGTCTGCAGGAGGACCACCTTCTCCGGGAGGAGGATCCCCGCCTCCACCTCCTCCTCGCAGCAGATCTGGGCCATGACGGTCAGGCAGAGCAGGTAGAGGCAGCGCAGGGCCCAGTCTGGTTTGGGGGCCGGGAGGTAGCGCCTGGCCTTGGCCGGATACAGCACCCTCCGGGGCCGCCTGGCTCTGCTCCCCACTGGGGCTCTCCTGGGGGCCGGGGGCGCTGCCTCCGCCACATCGAACGTGAAGACCTGCGGCGGGCCGGAGCGGGGGCCAGGCATGGCAGGCAGGGCGGACTGGGGGGCCGCAATGGACAGATAGCGGATTCGTGATTCCAGACACATCGTGTGACTCGGCTCTAACTGACTGACTGACAGCGGGCTGCTCGCCTTATATAGAACCACCGGACACGCCCACCTACTCCGCCCACAGCCAATCACAGGCACACACCGACTGGGCGGGGCCAGAGTGCAGGGCAGAGATTGTAACAAAGTATCCAGGCTCAGAATGCTGGGAGATTCTATTCTAGAACTTAGAATAATAATAATAATAATACTATATACAGCTCACTGTGACAATATAGAATGCTGGGAGATTCTATTCTAGAACTTAGAATAATAATATAATACTATATACAGCTCACAGTAGCAATACAGAATCCTGGGAGATTATAATATAGAACGTGTAATAATAATAATATAATACTATATACAGCTCACTGTGACAATATAGAATGCTGGGAGATTCTATTCTAGAACGTAGAATAATAATAATATAATACTATATACAGCTCACTGTGACAGCAAAGAATGTTGGGAGATTCTATTCTAGAACTTAGAATGATGATAATAATAATATAATACTATATACAGCTCACTGTGACAGCAAAGAATGCTGGGAGATTCTATTCTAGAACTTAGAATAATAATAATAATGATAATAATAATAATAATAACATAATACCATATACAGCTCACTGTGACAATATAGAATGCTGGGAGATTCTATTCTAGAACTTAGAATAATAATAATAATAATAATAATAATAATAATAATAATAATACTATATACAGCTCACTGTGACAATATAGAATGCTGGAAGATTCTATTCTAGAACTTAGAATAATAATAATAATAATAATAATAATACTATATACAGCTCACTGTGACAATATAGAATGCTGGAAGATTCTATTCTAGAACTTAGAATAATAATAATAAATAATAATATAATACTATATACAGCTCACAGTAGCAATACAGAATCCTGGGAGATTATAATATAGAACGTGTAATAATAATAATATAATACTATATACAGCTCACTGTGACAATATAGAATGCTGGGAGATTCTATTCTAGAACTTAGAATAATAATAAGAATAATAAGAATAATATAATACTATATACAGCTCACAGTAGCAATACAGAATCCTGGGAGATTCTAATATAGAACGTGTAATAATAATAATATAATACTATATAAAACTCAATGTGACAATATAGAATGCTGGGAGATTCTATTCTAGAACTTAGAATAATAATAATATAATACTATATACAGCTCACTGTGACAGCAAAGAATGTTGGGAGATTCTATTCTAGAACTTAGAATGATGATAATAATAATATAATACTATATACAGCTCACTGTGACAGCAAAGAATGCTGGGAGATTCTATTCTAGAACTTAGAATAATAATAATAATAATAATAATAATACTATATACAGCTCACTGTGACAATATAGAATGCTGGAAGATTCTATTCTAGAACTTAGAATAATAATAATAATAATAATAATAATACTACATACAGCTCACTGTGACAATATAGAATGCTGGAAGATTCTATTCTAGAACTTAGAATAATAATAATAATAATAATTAATAATAATATAATACTATATACAGCTCACAGTAGCAATACAGAATCCTGGGAGATTATAATATAGAACGTGTAATAATAATAATATAATACTATATACAGCTCACTGTGACAATATAGAATGCTGGGAGATTCTATTCTAGAACTTAGAATAATAATAATATAATACTATATACAGCTCACTGTGACAATATAGAATGCTGGGAGATTCTATTCTAGAACTTAGAATAATAATAATAATAATAATAATAATAATAATAATATAATACTATATACAGCTCACAGTAGCAATACAGAATCCTGGGAGATTATAATATAGAACGTGTAATAATAATAATATAATACTATATAAAACTCAATGTGACAATATAGAATGCTGGGAGATTCTATTCTAGAACTTAGAATAATAATAATAATACTAATACTATATACACAGCTCACTGTGACAATATAGAATGCTGGGAGATTCTATTCTAGAACTTAGAATAATAATATAATACTATATACAGCTCACAGTAGCAATACAGAATCCTGGGAGATTATAATATAGAACGTGTAATAATAATAATATAATACTATATACAGCTCACTGTGACAATATAGAATGCTGGGAGATTCTATTCTAGAATGTAGAATAATAATAATATAATACTATATACAGCTCACTGTGACAGCAAAGAATGTTGGGAGATTCTATTCTAGAACTTAGAATGATGATAATAATAATATAATACTATATACAGCTCACTGTGACAGCAAAGAATGCTGGGAGATTCTATTCTAGAACTTAGAATAATAATAATAATAATAATAATAATAATAATAATAATAATATAATACCATATACAGCTCACTGTGACAATATAGAATGCTGGGAGATTCTATTCTAGAACTTAGAATAATAATATAATACTATATACAGCTCACTGTGTCAGTAAAGAATGCTGGGAGATTATAATATAGAACGTGTAATAATAACATATGCTATATATAGCTCACTGTAACTAACAGTATGGTAAGTGCTCACATATTGCACTCTCCCCACATGGTTGCAACTCTGTCACAACAGTTCCATTCTCTCAATAAGCCCTACAACAGCGTCGCCTGCTGGTATGTGACAGTGTAGCAGCTATGTAGCTTTTTTTACCCAAGCATAGGTAGAGATTTTGACGAATTAGGTGCGTAAGACATTCTGAGTTAATCAGTCTTTTGACTTATTATAAATGGCTTTTCTTTTATTAGCACTAAGTGCGTAAATTTAAGGAACCGTAAAAGGGACATATCATCCATCTTATTTCTCAGTCGTAGAAGGAAAGTAAGCGTGTGAATGAGGCGTGCTACCGAATAAATAAAAGTCATTGTTTCCAGCCTGGATTAACCCTTTACATGCACATAATGAATAAAGAGCACTTTGTGTCAGCAGTTACCTTGGAAACCATAAGAAGTACCCCGCTGACGAATTTGGTGCCTCAATGCTTTCCCACGGGGTCCTCACTGACGCTGAACATCCTCATGCAGAGCGCGAGGACGTCCTGCGTCATTTACGTCCTGCGTCTGATAGACTGCTTTAGTACTGCAATATAAACACATTCAGTTTCATAAAAACTGCAATGATTTACAATGCAGGACTAAGTGGGACACTGCACCCAGACCACTTCAATGAGCTGATAGTGTCCCTTTAAGCTGTATTGGTTCTGGTGGCTATAGTGTCCCTTTAAGCTGTATTGGTTCTGGTGACTATAGTGTCCCTTTAAGCTGTGGTGGTTCTGGTGGCTATAGTGTCCCTTTAAGCTGTATTGGTTCTGGTGGCTATAGTGTCCCTTTAAGCTGTATTGCTTCTGGTGGCTATAGTGTCGCTTTAAGCTGTATTGCTTCTGGTGGCTATAGTGTCCCTTTAAGCTGTATTGGTTCTGGTGGCTATAGTGTCCCTTTAAGCTGTATTGGTTCTGGTGACTATAGTGTCCCTTTAAGCTGTATTGGTTCTGGTGACTCTAGTGTCCCTTTAAGCTGTATTGGTTCTGGTGACTATAGTGTCCCTTTAAGCTGTGGTGGTTCTGGTGACTATAGTGTCCCTTTAAGCTGTATTGGTTCTGGTGGCAATAGTGTCCCTTTAAGCTGTGGTGGTTCTGGTGACTATAGTGTCCCTTTAAGCTGTATTGGTTCTGGTGACTATAGTGTCCCTTTAAGCTGTATTGGTTCTGGTGACTATAGTGTCCCTTTCTGGTGTATGTCCCTTTAAGCTGTAGTGGCTCTGTGGCTATAGTGTCCCTTTAAGCTGTATTGTTCTGGTATATACGGCCCCTTTAAGCTGTGGTGGTTCTGTGGCTATAGTGTCCCTTGTTGTAGTGGTTCTGGTTATAGTGTCCCTTTAAGCTGTATTGGTTCTGGTATTATAGTGTCCTTTAAGCTGTGGTGGTTCTGTGGCTATAGTGTCCCTTTAAGCTGTATTGGTTCTGGTGGCTATAGTGTCCCTTTAAGCTGTAGTGGTTCTGGTTGCTATAGTGGTGGTTCTGGTGGCTATAGTGTCCCTTTAAGCTGTATTGGTTCTGGTTGCTATAGTGTCCCTTTAAGCTGTATTGGTTCTGGTGGCGATAGCGTCCCTTTAAGCTGAATTGGTTCTGGTGGCTATAGTGTCCCTTTAAGCTGTATTGGTTCTGGTGACTATAGTGTCCCTTTAAGCTTCAGTGGTTCTGGTGACTATAGTGTCCCTTTAAGCTGTAGTGGTTCTGGTGGCTATAGTGTCCCTTTAAGCTGTATTGGTTCTGGTGACTATAGTGTCCCTTTAAGCTTTAGTGGTTCTGGTGACTATAGTGTCCCTTTAAGCTGTAGTGGTTCTGGTGGCTATAGTGTCCCTTTAAGCTGTATTGGTTCTGGTGGCGATAGCGTCCCTTTAAGCTGAATTGGTTCTGGTGGCTATAGTGTCCCTTTAAGCTGTAGTGGTTCTGGTGACTATAGTGTCCCTTTAAGCTGTAGTGGTTCTGGTGACTATAGTGTCCCTTTAAGCTGTATTGGTTCTGGTGGCGATAGCGTCCCTTTAAGCTGAATTGGTTCTGGTGGCTATAGTGTCCCTTTAAGCTGTGGTGGTTCTGGTGGCTATAGTGTCCCTTTAAGCTGTATTGGTTCTGGTGGCTATAGTGTCCCTTTAAGCTGTGGTGGTTCTGGTGGCTATAGTGTCCCTTTAAGCTGTATTGGTTCTGGTGGCTATAGTGTCCCTTTAAGCTGTATTGGTTCTGGTGACTATAGTGTCCCTTTAAGCTGTATTGGTTCTGGTGGCTATAGTGTCCCTTTAAGCTGTATTGGTTCTGGTGACTATAGTGTCCCTTTAAGCTGTATTGGTTCTGGTGGCTATAGTGTCCCTTTAAGCTGTATTGGTTCTGGTGACTATAGTGTCCCTTTAAGCTGTATTGGTTCTGGTGGCTATAGTGTCCCTTTAAGCTGTATTGGTTCTGGTGGCTATAGTGTCCCTTTAAGCTGTA